CAGTAGAACGTAAAGCCATCTGACCACCAACTGACTCAACAGAAGCAGGAAAACAACCCAAAACACAGTATTAAATCAACAACAGAACAGAACAGAACAACAGGGGTCATATGATGCGTTTTCATGTTTTCCTTTTTCTTAAGTGCGTTATGTAGCTGTTTGTGTATGTATAAGATCTGCAAAGTTACAAACCTCAAAGTCTCCCACAAAAGGATTTTTTCTATCTAAAACAGAAGGCTGATCCAGACCGGCCGAAAACACCTCGACCCTTTCATACCTACATCACTAGTGGAAATATTTGCATAATACCACCAAAATGTACACGCAAAGAAAGAAGCTTCTGAAAGAAGATTCTGATTCGTTCTGCTCAAGTTGTTCTTGCAAAGTTGTTTTTGATCGATTGGCTTGGTCATCTGCAATTTCAGAATCTGACCCGGGCTTGAACTGATATGGTAAAAGTGACAACATTATTAACTGTCTTTATAATTGCTTTGGAAGCTGAAGCTTGCAATTATGGTAAGGGGCATTACAATTCCAACACATGCTTGAAATGTTCGGCCAATCACAACTCACAGGGTCAGCTGGCCAATCAGAGCTCACTGCGCTTTTCAGAAGGAGGGGCTTCGTAGAAATTGACGCGTTTTAGAAAGACTGGGCATAGAAGAGCTACAATAATGCACAGTATGTGAAAAGTAATGTGTTTTTTGAACACTGAAGCAAACATATTCTATTACACCCAATACACAAAATAATGACCTTTGAAAATAGCATCATACGACCCCTTTAACAGAAGAAAACAAACTTTCTGGAGTGAAGAAATCAGAGTCCTGACTCACCAAGATGCTGTGATATCACCTTAAGAGAGCAATTCGGGGGGGCGCACGTGCACAGATCATGGAGTAGTCGCATTTTTCTGAGCTCCTCTCCACTGACATTACATTTTGAATATTTTTGTAATTAAAGTACCGTCAATCCACTTCACAGTCGATAATAACTTATTGAGAGTTAACTTTAGTCAGTTGTTTTGAGTATTTAGTGAGATTTAAGTGCGCTGAGGGCGACTTTCGTTATTTCGCTGACTCATTCTGTCGGAAAATGGCGTCTAAGAAAACTGCAAAAACTGTTGCAACTAAGGAGGACGCCAATCCAGGTGATTCTATCTCACAGGGAAATGTGAATGCGATACTTGCCGCAATCGGTGCCCAAGGGGATGATTTGAAAAAGCTGATAGAGGACAAGATGACAGCATTAAGTGCTCGCTTGGATACGTTGGATGCTACGCTGGTTAACCTGCAGTCAGAACAGGCCGGCGTTAAACAAAAAATGGTGGAGATAGAAGGTGCCCTGAACGGTACTGATTTACGCCTCGGAGAGGTTGAAAAGATGTGAAGACTTGCGTGCAGAAAACAAATCTCTCTGGGCTAAACTGAATGACTTGGAAGGACGCTCTCGAAGGCTGAATCTCAGATTTGTGGGAATAAGCGAAGGTGAGGAGCGGGGGCGCCCTTCGGTGTTCATTTCTGACTTGATTACCGAACTTTTCGGCCGAGACAACTGCCCCAAACCTGTGAAGATTGACCGAGCTCATCGGGTGCTGTTACCCAAGCCATCTGAAGGCCATAGACCTCGCACCATTATCGCACAGATCCACAATGATCGGGATAAAGACTTAATCCTTCGCCTGAGCCGGGATAAGTTTCCTCTGGAATATAAAGGAAAGCGGATTCATATCTTCCCTGATTATACACCGGAGGTGACAGCGCGGCGACGTGCATTTAGTTCGATTACGAAAGCTCTGCGAGAGGCTGGGTTGAAATGGTCCCTGCGTTTTCCAGCGCCGGGATAAGTTTCCTCTGGAATATAAAGGAAAGCGGATTCATATCTTCCCTGATTATACACCGGAGGTGACAGCGTGGCGACGTGCATTTAGTTCGATTACAAAAGCTCTGCGGGAGGCTGGGTTGAAATGGTCCCTGCGTTTTCCAGCTAAATTGATGGTGCATTACAACGGTCGCGAGCTTTTTTTCGAATCTCCGGTAGAGGCTAAGAAGTTTGTGGATAACTTGTCGAATGACTCAGCGTAGCCTCTACGTACTCAGCTTGGTCCGAGTATGGACCTTGACTAATAGAAGTGGACTATTTTAACATTCTGTTAATTGTCACTGTGGTATGCGATTCAGATTACTGACTATTTGTGCAGTGGAGTACAGAAGTTTTTTTTTTTTTCCTCTACTCCTTGTGTGTTTTTCATTATTTCTACTCTTCTTTTTGGCTAAGGTAAGCTAAGTTAGTCTTGCACTCTTGTTGTCTCCGAGACGATGGGGAATACTTGCTGCTTCGGTTCATGGGGCAGCTGTGGGGAGTTCGTGAGTTCTTCATGTTTTTTGTTGCACCAGATAATGTTAATTCTTGCTGCGGTTGCTACTGATTTTGTATTTATGTTTTTGAAGATGTTGTATGACTGGCACTATTCCTAATAATAATAGTGATGTTGGAGTGAATATTACATTTGTTAGTTGGAATGTAAGAGGAATGGGGCACCCGATTAAGAGGGGGAAAGTGTTTGCACATTTGAAGTCATTGTCGGCTGACATTATTTTTCTTCAGGAAACCCATATTAGACACAATGAACAGATGCGGCTTAGAGCAAATTGGATTTCGCAAGTTTATCAAGCCACTTTTTCCTCTAAAGCTAGAGGTGTGGCTATACTTTTTCGGAAATCAATTCCTTTTCGATTGCACTCTGTGGTGTCTGACCCTGCAGGAAGATATATTATTGTATCCGGATTCATTAATAATTTCCCGATTACATGTGTTAATGTGTATGGGCCAAATATAGATGATCCTGGTTTTTTTAGGAAATAATTCAGGCTCATTCCAGATACTAATTCGACCAATTTGATAATTGCTTAAGACTTTAATTGCTATTTGGATCCTCATCTCGATCGTCACTCCTCACAAGTTCCTCCTTTTATTCAGTGTGTAGGTGTTTTAAATAATTTGATAAAATCCATGAATCTTGTGGATATATGGAGATTACTTAACCCGACTGCTCGTGATTATTCTTTTTTTTCTCATGTTCATAAATCCTATACATGTATTGATTACTTTATTATTGATTCAAAACTCATTCAGGGGATGAGTCAGTCCAAATATCATAATATTATCAACATAAAACATTCTTTTACTGAGTTTCAGGATTTGCCTCAGGATCATGATCTGTATGATCTTTTGGGTCAACCTCCTATGGACAAACATTTGGTGACACGGTTTGTTTCTTTGTTTGTTTCTCATTTTGCAGTGTCTTCAGATCACCTCAGAGTAGCATGGGAAAAGGATTAATATCTCAAATGAGATTTGGGAAGAGGGACTGAAACGAATTCATACCTGCTCTATTAATGCTAGATTACAACTTATACAGTTTAAAGTATTGCATAGGTTACACTATACCAAAACTAAACTCAATAAAATTTACCCTTCAATTTCCCCATTATGTGAAAGATGTAAGTGCTCAGATGGCACACATGCTCATTTTTTTGGTTTTGCCCTGAGATTTATGAGTTTTGGAAGAATATTTTTCAGTGGTATTCAAATGTTTTTGGAGAAGATATCACTCCAGATCTTGAATTAGCTTTGCTTGGATGTTCTGACCCTACATTAGCATTAACACATTCTCAGCAATTGTCTCTTATGTTTGGTATGGTAGTAGCTAAAAGGGTGATTTTGATGGATTGGAAGTCCTCTTTACCGCCCAGTTTTCATAAATGGTTGGCGGAGATGGTTGCCGCCCTTAAGCTCGAAAGGATTCGCTTTTCCAAGACCAATGCTTCTAAAAAATGTTATAAAATCTGGGGCCCCTTCCTTAGGTATCTTTTTAAGAGTTGAATGGATAGCTTCTCTGTTTTATTCCTTCACTCCATCTTTAAAGTTTTGTTTATGTTTGATTACGTATGTCTTTGTTTAAGGTGTATACTTTTAATTGTATCTGGTGCCTGTTTGTGGGGGTAGGTGTGGGGGTCTCTTGTTTTTTGTTTTTTTTTTGTTTTTTGTGTATAGTATATTTTTTGTATACATTTCGTGAGACTTTTATTTGTTTTATGTTTATATAAAAACTGTTATAAATAAAATTATATATAAAAAAAAAGAGCAATTCACACCAGATATATCAAGAAAACTGCTAAAATGAAACCACTTTGGTGCTAAATTCCTCCTGACCATGTGCAGATCTGATGCACAATTACAGGAAACCTTGTGTGGAGGCTATTGCTTCCAGAAGTAAGACAGAATCTCTTACAGCAATTACAAATAAGAAAAACATTCTGAATTTTTACAATAATTTTGTAATAATTTTTGAAGACAAAAATTATTACAATATCTAAACATTTATCTTAAATAAAAATAAATTTACTAAAAAAAAAAAAAAAAAAAAAAAAATCAAGAAAAAATATCTGCCAATGGGGTTTTCCTTTTGAATTAAGTTTATATTTCTAATCCCATTTAAGTATATTTTTCTTGTTTTAAGCATAAACTCACTTCATTTTGATTTTTTTTTTTCAGAAAACAAATTAATATCTTATGTCCTTTGATTCTCAAGTGAATGCATCTAAATTTTCTCTAATAATATTTATATATCTGTGCTGGAAAACAAGACAAAACTATGATAAGATTTTTTTTATTTTTTTTGCAGTGAGCCTGATTTTTATTATTTTGTTGTAAAATGCAATTATATTATCACCCAGCTTTTTATATAAATTAAATATACACTTATAAATATCAACTCTTTGACTGCTTCTATCATTACAAAATGTCAAATATTTTATCATCCTGGTCTAATCTGCTAAATGCGACTGTATGTCATGAAGATATTAAGATATTATAAACATTAACATCATTTGATGATTTTCTGTAAAGTTGCTTTGAAACAATGTGCATTGGAAAAAAAAGTGCTATACAAATAGATTTGTACTTCAATAAATGACACATTTTTGTTTGTTTCTTACCTTAAACTCTGTCTCTATGTTGGCGAGTCGTGCGAGTTCATTGCTGAGCTCTAGTGCCGTCAGTACGGGATCTTCGCTGGACAGCGACAGGTATGTGGCGCTAGCGAGCCCTTTGTACGCGTTCATGCGCGATCTGGAATGACTGAACGAGTCACGTTTCTGTTTCTCCGTGCACTCGCAGCACTTGCAGAAGTAGTCGTGCGGCCGCTCGATCCTGGCGCCCTTTATCAGCAGGATGTGTACGATCTCGTACTCCTGACAGTGCGCGGCCAGAATCACCGGTGTCACGTCGTGCGAAAAACGCGTCCCGTCCTCGTCATAGGCGTAGAAGTCGTCGTCCCTCAGTTCCTGCTCCAGCGGGCTCAAAGTCAGTCTCAAGCCGCCCGCAAATGCCGGATGAGCCAAAATGGCCTCTACGATTCGCACGTAACCTTTGCTGATTGCCAAAAGAAGTGCATCGCCAATGCGCGCCATCCCGTCTTTCTTTAGCAAAAGCTCCGTGACCTCCAGGTGCTCGTTGCCGACTGCTAACTGCAGCGCGTTTTGCCCCATGTAGTCCACGCAGTTGAAGTTAAGCGTTTTGGACTCGTCCAGCATCTTGCGGACGATGGGAATGTTGCCGTACTCCGCTGCATCGAGGAAACGTTCCTCCTCCGCCGTGAGGCTGGTGCCGCGTTCGTTGAACATGTAGGCGGGGCCTCGGATGGCCTGCCGACGGCCCTTCTCTCGCAGGGTGGTGTGCCTGCGATGCATGACCTCTGACCTGAGAGAAAACAAAAAATCAATCATGAAATGGTTTTCGCAACCCACATGTGATGTATTTCAGTGAGAAACTGAATATTCAATTGGGTAAAAGTTGATTTTATCCATTAAAACATTCAAAAGTTTAGATTTTTATGTTTACAAAGAAAAAAAATCATAACTCAATATAACATGCACAATAGGAAGATAAGGAAATATAGCCAGTTTTTCTTAAGTATTTAATGTGTTCTTAACTAAAATCAAAAATATATATATATTTTAATAAAATTATGTTAATTGAAATAAAATAGATGTTAACATAAATAAAACAGAGTATTAAAAATAGTCTATTTCAGTCAATTGCCCAGGTAAAATTTTTAATTTTCATTTAGTTCAAGTTGAAGCACTAAAAATACTAAAACTAAAACTGAAATGAAAAAAAAAACCTCAATAGTAAATAGACATATTTAAATAATAATAATAATGTTTTAAACACAAAATTACTAAAACTTCAAAATATTAATAAATATTATGATAATAAGGATACTAAAATAACATTGATTTTAACAACATCGGGAAAATGTCACAAACTAGCTGTAAAAGGTTGCTGCTAAATAGCTTAAACGAGTGTGTTTAATTCAACTAGTCTAATCTGTTCTGCTCACTGCACAGCATGAGATTCAATCAATAACTGTCTGTCAATAGACTGATGGTCTGAAACGGCTAATCACAGCTCTCCTTTTAGAAGTTGCTAAATTGGCCTTTCACGCCACATGAGACAATCTGACCTCTGATTGGACCAATAATCAATGACATCAGAGATCAGCTCGGGGCTGTAGTGCTTTCAGTGGATCACACACAGACAGACATGTGATGTTCAACAGTGGGAGCAAAACCTAAGAAACTGCCACAATTTCAACACACACATTTCAGTTTTAGAGATTTCTAGATAAGAGTCTGGATGATAGCAGTCTTATTTTCCATCGTTAACACACAAGAGGGTGAATATATTACACTTTAAAAATGACATGATGATTGCTGCATGCAAATGCTATAGGTATTTGTTTGCAAAATCATATCAATTTTAGCCCTCTTGATCACAGTTTTGTCTAAAATTGCACACGTATGCCTCAAGAGAAAATCCATTTATTCAGTACAGACAATTTTTACACACACAAACTGCTTATACGGCATAGAAACAAAAATATACACACACAAACACATGAAACATACATGTGCAGTGAACAGATCAATATGTCATCTGGTTCATGCTGTGCTGCTCTGAACATTTGATTTCCAAATGCTGGCAAACTCTCTGTGAGCGAGATATTTCATACTGCAGCAAATCACAACCTGCTATAAAACAAAAACACTCTTAGCTTTTACACACACACACACAACTCCAGAGAGAGAATCCAACATTTTCTGGATAGACACACCAATGCTGCATATGTTTTTTTAATTAGTGATGTTTGTTAAGTCAAGCATAACCATTGCTGTTGCTCATAATTGTAATTCTGAAATGATCAAACCTCTAACACTAAGTATGAAAGTCCAGTGTGCATCATGTGTGTTGAGGAGAGTGTGCTAGTGCTTCACTAAGTGATCAGACGCACCATTTTCACCTGCTGGAGCAGAAAACAGGTGAGGAAATCCTCCCCTACAGATATATCTTCAGACCAGAGGATCACAGAGACACAAGGATGCAGGACTGCTGAACACCAGACAGGAAGAAAACACCTAGTAACCACCCAACCACCCTAGCAACATCCTGGCAACCACCCTGAATAACCTAGAAACCACTTACAGTAGGAATTCCCCAGCAATGCCCTAGCAACCACCCCGAACACCCTAGCAATCACTTAGGAATTCCCTAAAAAGTCCTGGCATCCACTCTGGACACTCTACCTGAGAATGCCCTAGCAACCACCTAAGAATGCCCTAGCAACCAACTAAGAACGTCCCAGCAACGCCCTAGTAACCACCCTGAACACCCTAGCAATCACTTAGGAATGCCCTAGCAATGTCCTGGCATCCATTTTGGACACCCTAGTAACACCCTGGCAACCACCTAATAATGCCCTAGCAACCGCCTAAGAGTGTCCCATCAATGCCCTAGTAACCCCCCGAACACCCTAGCAATCACTTAGGAATGCCCTAGTAATGTCCTGGCATCCACTTTGGACACCCTATCAACTATCTGATAATGCCCTAGCAACACCCTGGCAACCACCTAAGAATGCCCTAGCAACCAACTAAGAGTGTCCCAGCAACGCCCTAGTAACCACCCTGAACACCCTAGCAATCACTTAGGAATGCCCTAGCAATGTCCTGGCATCCACTTTGGACACCCTAACAAATATTTGAGAATGCCCTAGCAACACTCTAACAACCTCCTACCTAACCCTTTGACACATACGATCACATCGGTGTGATTAGAACATTCAGTGCATCACGTAATCAACTGTGTAGGTAACTATAAAGTTTACCCTATTCTTCTCCCAGTTCACGGGAAACTTACTTAAATGTCTTTTGGGAGGAGAGGATGAATTTGCGTGTTGTAAATCCCACAGCTCAGATTCACCGCGAACTAACATGGCTGCACCCATCGCCCATTATAGATCAACTAACATGGTCATTATAAAGGTGTTTAAACTACCAAAAACATTTACTTGCACATATCTGAGAATTGGAATATCATATATCTAATAATATAATTGACGCTGATGATATAATTGTTTGTGAATATTTCGAATAAAAAAGGAAAAATTAAATAAAAGCTATACATCACTCATACAGAGTTATAATGGCTGCAGTGTGTCACGTGACAAGCATGACACGTCGCCATGGAAATAATAAGGTGATACATTCTAAAATAATGGTAGCCTAAAAAAAACTCACTCTGGGGAGTCAGCTAGAATATTTTAAATTTACGTGTGAAAGGGTTAAGCATGTGCTAGCAACACACTAACAGCCACCTAAGAGTGTCCCAGTAATGTCCTAATAACCACCCTGAACACATTAGCAACCACCTGAGAATCCCCTAATAACATCCTGGCAACTAACTAGCAATACTCTACCAACAGCTTAGCAACCACCCACAATTTCTTCAGAAAAAGTAAAATTGTAGAGTAGTTGTGCAGTAATGTTTAGTCAGTCAGGTGGGCCAGCGGTCGCCTGACACTCTGCTCATCAGAGAAGAATAAAAGGGTGACGCGATAAAGAGACAGCGGAAAGAAGATTACACAGCGCTCTTGACACATCAAACGCAGAAAAGAGTGGCTGAAAATGGAACCCATTCAAATAGCGCAACTTCCCTGAGGGACATGAAGGAGCGTCGTACTCGAGAGAGAGAGAGAGAGAGAGAGAGAGAGAGAGTGAGAGAGAGAGCCGTGCTAAGCACAGTGTGTGTTGTGTGTGTGTGAGGTCATTAAGGTCCTCGAGATACATCTGTCTCTGACTCTCTCACACGGTTACAGGTGCACAAACTGCATGTGTTTGCATAAAGTCTTTGTCTGATTAAATGTGACCGATATCTGTGGCAGCAGCTCTAGCACTATACTTATTGCAAAAATAACTAGAATCTTACATTTTCTGAGGAAAATGTGAACATTGTTTAACTTTGTCCATGCAATACATGATTCATTTTATAAACCGACGTCAAAAAAAAAAACAAAAAAAATCACCTTGTGTCACTTTGTTACTGGGGTGTTCTGGGTGGTTACTAGGTGGTGATTTACTGATTCCAGAGCCCAACTCCAAGTCTATATGATATTCTGGTCTCTAGATAGGTGTTTTTGAACAGATAAAGCTTTTTTTTTTTTTGGTGCGATGCATTATGCCTGTCACATTTCGCCTACTGTGGCGGAGACGAAGGAGCGTGGAGATGAAGGGCATTAACATCCAAAAGTCTTTATTTCACCAAACAAGGAACATACAGGCAGGAACTCACACGTAGGACGAGGGTTGACGTACAATTCCGGACAAGGAAAACTCAGAAACACAGGGTTATTATAATCAGAATGAAACAAGGAAATCAATGGGACACAGCTGGAATCAAATCAAACTAAATGGGCACAGTAACAGGAAAATAACCAAATATGGGCATAAAGACACAAGAGGGAAAACTAGGAGTACATAGGGAGGAATACAACAACAAAACGGGAACACAAGTCTGACATTACTCCCCCCTCCCAGAAGGCGCGTCCTCGTGCCTCACAACATCCAACGGGGAGGGGGGGTGGGCGCCTAACGGGGGGTGAGCGTTATCCATTCCGGGACCCCTGGCAGATCTGGCAGTTCAGGGCGCAATGGTGGAGCAGACAGCGTGGGGTGCCATGGCGGAGCAGGCAGTCCAGGAGGCCATGGCGGAGTAGGGAACTCGGGGGGCCATGGCGGATCAGACAGTTCAGGAGGCCATGGCGGAGCAGTCTCTGAGGCCGTGGCCCCAGCCCCCGCCCCGGCCTCTATGGCTGGAGCCCTATAACCTCCCCCAAAAAAATACTTGGGGAAAATAACGGGCTCCGAGGCCCTCCGTGGGCTAGACATAGGGACCGCAACCCTCTCTGGGCCTAATTCAGGAACAGGAGCCCTTCTTGGGCTAAACTCAGGAACAGTAGCCCGTGGGCTGAACTCAGGAACTGTAGCCCTCCGTGGGCTAGACTCTGGAACTGGAGCCCTCTCTGGGCTGGATGCGGGGACTGGAGCCCTATATTGATGCTGGTCTGGGGCTAGAGCCATCTCTCGACTCTGGTCAGGGGATAGAGCTGATACTGGAGTGAACTCAGGGGTTAGAGCCGACACTGGAGCGAGCTCTGGGGCTGGAGCCGACACTTGAGCGAGGATGAGGACCGAGAGCCATCCTTTTCACCTCATCCTCCTCTTTTGGTTACGGGTGAATAGGGCGGCCGGCGGGCTTGACAACGGCGCGGCAAAGCATGCAGCGGTTTCCATGCCGTGGGGGGAAAACAGGAAAACAAAAGAAAACACTTTAAAAAAACGGAAAACAAAACGGGGAGAAGG